CCTCAATTGCCAACTTAATATTGCCGTCAATCTGGTTAATTAAGAACAAGAATTTATCTAAACTATCCTTGCAATGCTGCCATATGGCAAATTAGTCATCCATATATCTAACAGTTTGGGTGTCAATTTTACCTCTTCCATGAAGTGTTTCTCCATTCTTCACATGTAATTATTAGCTAAAATGGGAGCCAAGCAAGATCCTTTTGCTAGGCCTTGAACCTGTTCATAACTTTTTCATTAAATGTAAAGTATGTGCTGCTCATGGACAGATTAAGAAGTCTTATGATTGCGCTCTTGCTTAGATTTTATTCTTTAATTATTCCTGGATGCTCATCCAGTGCTTCGATAGCCTTCTGATCTAGGATCTTAGTATACATTGATACCACATCGAAACTAACCAAAAGATCCTTCTCTTTAATACCATGTTTAGCTATTAATATTTCCAATACTCAGCCACTTTCTTTAATTGTCTGAATAGGAAACGTAAGTTTCTGAGTCATTTAAATGAACCATCATTCTACCACTGCACCACCTTTATTTGCCTTTAAAACAAACAGATCATTTTGGTGCAAATATCTAGGAACCTTATTCAAATTATAAGATTTCTTTGGAATAATTACCTAATAAAAATTAGGAATCACTTCTCTGTCTATACTATTCTTAGCCTCTTCTGGCAGCTTGTCCGTTAAGTAAATTAACTCAACCAGTATCTCCATAGGATGATTTTGCTCATTTGGAAAGGCAAAGTTTAGATTTATTTCCAAGACGAGCATAACATTAGCATCTATAGGTATACTGGATAAATTAATGACTTTATTTTTGCTATAAAAAATAATACTAAGTTTAACTACCTCCTTATTGCTTCGAAGATTTATTGAGCTGATGCTGATGCCTAAATTCTTTAATTTCTTATCATTTCGGGATCTATGGATCTTATCTATCCTATCCCCTAGACCGTTCGCCATTTTATGCAATTTGAGAAAGTCTTCTTGATAAAATAGCCGAGAAAGGGATTGTCTAGTACTTGTTTTGGTTCTAATCAGGTCATGCAATTTGTATATACTTTCTTTGAGTCTAGTCTTAACCAAACCACCTGATACATGCTCCAGTTTCCTATTAGTGGAAATAGGTAAATCTGGACGTCTACCAAGAATACCACATCTAGGAACTGCATTATGTGAAATACAAATTTTTAAAAATCCAATAGTATCGACTTGCCGGGATATACTTTTCTTGTTTTTCGTATAACCAGAAGAAAGTTATAAGAATTCATACCATACGTACGTTGTGTATGCGAAAAAAAGTTGGGCTTGGAACAATCTTTTGTTTCATAATTGTTGAGCTTACTTCCATTTCGAGTGAAAGTGTTCGAATCTATTCACTAAACGCTTTCACATTAATGGAAGTAGGCACAACGATTAATAACTTTAGCCATATAATCTTAAAATTATCATTTTAGGCTGTTCTCGTTTTATTCGGTCAATTTAGAAATTTACATTACAGTAGCTCTTTAGCTAAGTGGTTAATCGAAATTTTGCGAACTCTTACAAGTCTATTCTTGAATCATTATGAGCACACTTAATTACTTATTTACTTTAATTGAATTACTTGTGTGACTATGTCTCTACTTATCAAGTGGATTTTCATTGTTTTCTTATAAAATGCTTGAAATTTTATATCCAAAATAACATTTTGCCTCCGATTAAGCATATCAAGCTGCACTTTTTACACGAAATTAACACTATTACCCAGCCTATAAGCCAAGATAATTTAGTCGGTGATGTTTAAACTTCCTAATAAAAATGTTGTCCCGAGTTCTACGAATTATTTTTTTCAAGGATTCGTCTAAATTGCATTCCGAATCAAATGCAAATAGATATAATGGTCTGATTTTGTCAACTCAAAGCATAGTTTTCTATTTGCTTCCTATCTCACATTTCCATCTACTCTGAAGCTGAATAACATTTAAATAATAAGTTAGCTTTTATCAGCTTAGTTTTAGTTCATTATTTGACATTATTGTTAGTATATGGGACTCCTTTTTTCACTGGAATCTCATCTCATTACATACTTTGACGGGACGTAAAAAGAAGCTTCTAATTGGTTTTATAAGAATGACCTGTCTTTGTATCAGGCGTCAGCTACAGGCAAATCTGATTGTATAATTATAGCCTATGGTTCAGGTACAGACTATGGAGAGGTAGCAACTTCTGAGTCCAGCTTGGGCACGAAAACTGGGGCTGTGCAGCTCACTTAATGTTGCGTGCTAAGCCTACTGTGAGGCACCATATTCGCTCTTGACTGCTGGTTAGTAACTTCATCGAGGCCATGCTAATAATCAAGGGAATATAATAGTATTTGTGGAATAGGTCCCTTGTCATGAGCGACAGTGCAGCTGAATAATAAAATTTATTGAATTGTTATTATTACTATCCGCATAATCTAAGTTAAGCCTTATGACGGCATTTTTCAGTGATAATCTTTTCTTTTTTGATTTTCAATTCTTAAATTTATCTTCTGTAACTAGTTTTTCTATATGCTACGAACCTTGCTTAAGGGCTACTTGACATGACTCAGCTCATTCTCGTCTCGTTACATTCCTATAGAGTAAAATGATCATTATGTGTTTGCGTTAACATTTATTTACTTTTTGTTCCACTGTACTATGGTTGGAGAGCTTTTTTTATCAATTTTATTCAACCTAATATTGACTGTATTTACTTGCAGCTTTTAGATATTAGTCTTTTTGTACATTTTTTTCTTGTCTTGCCTCGCAGGTACCGAACATCTTCGCATTGTAGAACAGATCATCCATTCTCGTGATTCATCTGTCGCCCATACTGTAGTCTATGACGTTTTCGCGGGTATCGGCCCTTTTGCTGTTCCAATATCTCGTCGTCTTCGGGATTCCGGAAGAGTGCTAGCTAATGATCTTAATCCAGAGGCTTATAAATGGCTTTGTATAAATGCTGACCTTGATCGTGGTAAAAGACACGCACAAAATCTCGCTTGCTACTGTGTTGACGGAAGGGCATTCATCCGTGACGTGAGTGTCCATTATTTCACACCTAATTACATCCTAACCTTCATGGCAGTTTTAGTCTTGTTTCAATTATTTACTTACTTGCCTTATTATTAAATTGTATCTGCTATACTATTACTTAACTCTGTTTTCTTATTGAGGCGGTATGACCTGTAACATTTATTCCTAATTACACTTTCATCAACATCACTTAAAATGTGTTGGTCTTCGCACGAAAGGCTTTCAATATCGCAGGAACCTCAGAATAAAATATTTTCTATAACTACAAATAAATTATATCATCCATCATAGGCATGAATCGAAGGGCCCGTCTAGCATTATAATTATCACCTCTGGACTACTGGCGCTAGAAAAGTTTGTGGCCCATAATATATTTGCATCTGAACCTGCAAATCCTTTGTTAATATCCCATTCACGAAACCAGTGAAACGCTAGATGGGCTAATATACTCATTGATAATACGCTCTCGGGCTTAATACGACGACAAAACTCCGTATCATTGATGCATTCTCTTGAATATATTTGGAATGCTGAGCTATTTAAAAATTTAAATCTAAGAATTTTCTGAATGACTTTCTTCTCTCGAACCATGAAGAACAGCTTCCTTTCAACTCCTTGACTCCCAATTATCTACTATCTAGGCTTGCCTGATATTTATCCTTAGCAAACTTATTTTTTTAAACAGCGTATATTTGACATTACTTAACTGAATTTGCTCGCTAAAGTGTGTGAATTAGACATGGATCCATCTCATCGGAATAAAATGGCTTATTCCTTTAATATGTAAAGAATAGTTGGGGTTCGAGGAATCTCTTGGTTTGTACTTGTTGAGCTCACTCCCATTTTGAATAAAAGTGTATCGTGAAGAAATTCGTAGGTCGATCCCACCATATGACGACAACAGCTTCCTCTTAACTAGCTGTCGATCGGCTTTACAATAACATTTTTGTTGTCGCTTTTTTCGAGGCAGTTTCCTTCGATTTCGATGAAAATATGCTACGCTTTTGTCCCTCATGACCGACATCATCAGAGCTGGTTATCATTTTTGTAACCATATTTAAGCTGAGTCAAAAAATTACCGGCTTAATCTTAGATGTTGTATAGATGCCTTATAACTATGCATTTTGATGAGACATAAAATTATTTGTTACTTCATGTTATATGTCAATTTCGAAGCCTGCATATGTACCCATTTATGTGTGGTTATGTGCCTTATTGTATTCATTATGTGCGAAACCAGCAGTGATAGCTTAAATTAATTAGAACAGAACGCAACATCTGTTCTCGCCCATCAAGGTTTAATGATCACCATTATCCAATTTTTTATATTTTAACCATCAGTCCTATTGCGTTAAATTAAGCTCTTTGTCTTCGTGTGATAGAGGAAGAGTGGACTAAAATTACAGAAAAATGACCGTAGTTAGAATCATAACAAGAAAAGACTGGACGAGTTGCCTCTTTTTTCAACCAACTTAACGCACTCTCTCTCCTTCAAGCATTCATTATGTTGTCTTGTATGTGATTTCAATGGCCTCTTTAATTTTGTGATTATTTGCATACATACCATAATCCGCAAGATGGCAAGTTTGAGATCATTCATTCTCATGTTCAGCTTCTGGTGTGTGTTCCACTAGCTCCGATTTTTAAGCCCAACAGCCTCTAAAGACACTTTTTTCTTTAGCCATCCTTTGCCGAATAGGATGAAATGTTTCTTCAGCATAAACTCGACCACATGAACACATGTTATAGCAACCTGATCTGGATAATGAGTCAAATTTCTCCCTAAAATTGGACATAAATGGAAAAAGTATCTTAGTTTCCTTGAGAACCTTTTTTATTTTACAATTACTCATTAGTTCGCTTATCTTTTTAAAGAGGACACACGAAGGCAGAATCAAGTTTCCGTCTTTTTATCGCTCATTCTACAATTATAAAAGCTTTACTTTTAATCGAATTTCATTTTCAATCAAGCCTAGTTGACAATTATTCTTAAGTAATATTAGTTTAAGCCGATCTAGCTCATCACAATGATCTCTATCAGTTAATCTTATGCTCAGTATAACCATAGATTTTAATTTATCAACCTTTTTTATTAATATGATTGCAGAAGAAATTAAATAAAGAGCCAGCTTTTTAGGCTTCCTATATAGATCCCTGCTTAAATTCTCTT